GCTGCCTCTGAGCTCGTTCAGCATGTGCTTATATTTACCGCTCCATCAGTTCATCCATTCTGTTTCCCTTTCATTCCTCTGCCCTCCACCTTCCTCCAGTGCTGGACACCCTATAGCCCCTCGGGGTATTATCCCTGGGAGTGGGAATAGAAATGTTGAGCTCCTCGGTGGATTGATGTGGTTTCAGTTCTGCTTCTCTCTGCCTGTGACATGGAATGGAGACTCCTCTGGCTTCCTGTGTGCACCTTCACTTCACTTATGCTGTCTTTTTCTTTCCATCTTTTTTTCTGTTTGTTTGACATAAAGAAACACAGAATGAGTTAAACATGTCCGTAGTGAGGTTTTTTCTCTCAGTCATCATTTCAAGCCGAGGCCTCGTTCATAATGCTCCTGCTCCTGGGATCAACCTGGTGTCTGAGGAAGGGTTCCAGTTCCCTAACCCTAACCCACGGGGTGATCTGTGGTCTGGTGGAGCATTTACTTAAACCTGTAGCGATCATGAACCATCATGAGGGGAATGTATTCCACTGTGAAGGTGTTGCTGCTCATTGTTTCACAGTTTGATGACTGGAGCTGTTGCCTTTGGAGTTTACATTAGAATTAATTTTCCTTCTCTCACCTTTCAGACGGGGTTTGACATCGCAGTGGCCAGCGAGATCATGGCCATCCTGGCTCTGGCAGACGGCCTGGAGGACATGAAGAACCGCCTGGCCCGCATGGTGGTGGGGACCAGCCGCTCCGGACAGCCCGTCACCGCAGAGGACCTCGTACGTGTTCCTGCTGTGTGGTCCTGTCCTTCAAAGAGCGTGGGAGTTTTAACCTGTGGAAATGTCACAGCTAGCTTTACTGAGTCGGTTTGAGCTGCTGAGTGTAGATCAGATGAATGAAGAGCCGTCTGTCAGAAACACAGCAGAGCTACAGAAGCATCAAAGTTGGACTGATAGCAAACTGTCATGTTTTAAGGAAAACTTATGACATAGCGGTTACAGGTGGGCTTTAGTTTAACACATTCCTAGGAAGGTGTTTGATGAGCCACAGCAGCTCATTCAGTCCTCTTGTTCATACAGTTCAGACTTGCAGCTTCAGAAACAGACTTATAGTGAAACTTGGTGCCACTTTGACAACATCTATGCAGCTTTATGTGAATAATGCTGAGAAGTCAAGGACATGCTGCATCCAGTGACTGTCCTCTGCTCATCAGTGATAGTAAATCAGTTTGTTGTGGTTTTAATGTTAAGAGGAGCAGAGCTTCAGAGGTGAAGCAGAGTTCCACCAAATCACAGCAGGTCTTACTGTGGGCTCAGCTGGCTCTGGTTTCCCACCGACGTCTGTGCTGAGGAGGGTCCCCTATAGCGTTACACCAGTCTGTCAAAACACTGCCACGCCTCAGGGCCGGCGCACTGGGAATACGCTGGACCACTGTGTTTGTTAATGAGCCCAGATTGCTGACGTGGCATATTTTGGGAAGTGAGCTTTACGAGCAGAACTGAAGCATAAAGACAGACGCTTCCAGACGGACCGTAGAGCAGTTCTTCATGTTGTTTGACCGTTCTTCAGCTTCAGTGTCAGTCGTTTGTGCAGTGAGGGCAGCGTTTGGTCTGAAGCCTGATGACCTGCTCATGCTTCCATCTCACACCTCGTTTGTCTTTGTGCCTCTCTGTCAGGGTGTGAGCGGAGCGCTGGCCGTGCTCATGAAAGATGCCATCAAGCCCACGTTAATGCAGACCCTTGAGGTGAGACACACACATAACCCCACTTAAATAGTCATTATGCTGCTCAGCTGAACGCCTGCTGATGAATATCCTGTGGAACCTCTGCTGAGAGAAAAGCAAGCAGGAGAAGGAGTGCTCCGCTGAGAGCTTTTAAGAAAGGATTATAGATTGACTTTTCCCTCCCCGGCTCTTTATCTTAATGACAGCTCAGCAGTGGACAGGTGGAGCTCTCAGGCAGGACATCCACCCGCTAGAGTTTCATGCAGCTGCGCTTAGGAAGCTGCTTCATTTGGGCGTGATGACGATACCAGAACTCTGCCTCACAACATCTGGCTTTCATTATGGTTGGAGACATTACCTTCAGATGAACGGACATGTGTCACGACTTTTACACGTTTATATGTAACACACACACACACACACACACACAGGTCATTTGTGTGCTGGAGGAGAACACCAGCTCTGGTCCAGATTAGTCGTCAATAATTCAATGACAGGTTTGTTTTTCAGTTTAGTGATTTTTGGGCTTCTTTGTTGATGACTTTAAGAAACTCAGAATGTTTGGACCAAAGTGATGAAATAATCCTCAGCGTTCACATCAACGTTTATGTAGATGTTACCAGGATCTTCTGTTGAAACCCAGAGAGCAGCTGGTGGGTTTAAAAAGCTCGTACAGACGTGGGACTCACTGGTGTACAAGTGGATCATAGAGCTGGACTTATGTCGTCAGTAACACACGTCCTCATCAACATGTCAACAAGCCATTTCTGTGAAGTCGCTCCTTATCTTGTCATTCTTTCATTCACACTTCTGGGCTGTGCGTTGGAGCCTCTACTCCAGACAGAAGTTTGTGGTTTCTTCTGGACTTGTCTCACACTGAACCTAAAACACGAGTCAGACGTTTGCTAATTTCTTTTTTGTTGGATTGTTTATGCAGTTACACAAACTTCAGCACATTGTGAGCTGTGCTCCTCATAACTTTTGTTTCTGCGTCTGTTGTGTGAGGCTGTTTCTCGTTTGTTTGTTCCTTGTTGGTTCTGAACAAAAAGCCTGATTACATGGCTGCTGGGTGGGGAAGGTAAACACATTCTGTGTTTTCGCGGCGGGTGGAGGCGGGTGGAGGCGGGTGGAGGAGGGTGGAGGCTGTGTGCAGCACACATTCGGTTACTTTCTGCTTTTTTGGAGGAAGCGTTGCAGTCCTGTTGTGTGAAACTGTTTCCTGTGTGGGTTTCCTGTCATTCTGGTCAGGGAACTGGTATCGGGACCAACCGGGCCGCAGAGCTCCATGAGAACTTTCCATCGAGCCTGACCGCCGGTGCCCTTTGTGCTCTGTTCATTTGTGATTGTGGTGAATGCAGAGGCGCTCATGAGAGCAGAGCTGGTCTCAGTGTGCTGCAGCTTGTCCTGGTTCAGACTCTCAGGCGAGGCAGGGTTTAGAGGAGACATGGGGCAAGAAGAAAAGGGGTCGTTTGTGAGCCCGCTCCCTGTGTACGTGTCTGCTAACAGACCCCAGTCCTTCTGTGAGCTTTTCAAACATCCTGTCCATGTAGGAGGCAGGAGGCTCTCAGGTCCGTCTCACACCAAAGGCTGGGGAAGATCTGATGAGTTCAGCTCTGATCTGCAGCGTGGGGAGTGTTCAGTACTCAAGAGATGCACAAGATGAACAAATACTGACGTGATCTCCATCTTCCTGTTTTTGTTCGTCCCTCTTCCGAGCCTCCATCAGCCTCCTGTTTAAAGCTGGAGAGGTGACACTGGACCGGTCACTGATTCCCACGTTTATCACCCTGCTGTAGCTGTTGTGTGTCATGAACTGGGTTTCCTCCTCTACACATGAGGAAATAGTGGACATTTTGAACTGGTTCATGTTAAAAGTTCAGGGTTGGAGGCACAGATGGAAATCCACGTAATGTTTGACGTGTTTGAACTTTCCATTGAAACTGAGTGAAGGACGTGTTGTTGAAGTGCAGCAGCACTACAGGGTTGTTTTTGTCATGATAACAGTGTGATGCATTAACAGACGCGTTAGAATAACCTCTGCTTTCCACCGTTTGTCACGTATTCCCCGTTTTTCTGCTGCCGTGAGCTTTGCATGGACAGCCAGAGCAGTGGCAGCCTTTCTCAGAGCCTTGTTAAATGGCTGATTTAGTCCTCCGAGGGGAGGCTGTTTATGCAGGCGGAGGGAGAGGTATGCAAACAAAAGCTTAGAAAATCATGCTCGGCCTTCCCATCCTTCCTTTTTCCTCTCTCTTAAGGAATCCAGTGTAACAATAGGTCAGCCGGCTTTCCCAGTGTTTTGTTTTGTGAGTGCAGCAGAAGGATTTTGATCTTAAGGCTCGACTCTCCCTGGAAATCATGTTCAGTTGTTTCTTCTCTCATCTGGTCCAGCTGCTGAGAGGCAGCAGCAGTTCCAGCTCCTCGGAGGTTAAAGTCGTGTGATGATCACATCGTAGCTGCAGCTGGGACTTGGTTTCCTTTTTTCTTTTTATTGATCAGTTGTTATCGTTTTCTCCAGTAACTAGCTGGTTTGGTCAATAAATGAAATGAAGTGCTCATCACAGTGTTGTGGACCAGTGAGTGGACGGTGTTGCTTTCAGCCAACACTCCATGGACTCAGTGCATATTCAGTTTAGACCCCTTCACAGAATATTTGTGAATCTATTCGTAGGACTGAAATGCTGAATTGCTTAAAATACTAGTTTTGAAATGAGCTGTGCACAGAGCAGAGGTTTGTTTGTGTTGTATGTCAGTGTTCTCTGTGTGATGGTTGTAACGCTGTAGCTACACCCAACACATAAGCAGAGCGGATGCTGCAACACTAAAAGCCTTTTACACATGTGATCTGTTTGTGGTGGTGAGCGCCACCCAGAGCCCAGCTGCAAACGCACAGCATACACCGGTCTTCTCTTCAGGGTTTGTACGTGGGGTGTGACCCTTTTTACACAGAAATGGTCACAAAATGTCTGTATTTTTAAAAATGGAACTACTGGTGTACACAAAATGACAGACGAGGAGTCAGACAAGGTCCAGGACTGGTGTCACAGAAGATGTATTACAAACCCAAACTACCAG